AGAATCGCAGGTTTCATTTTGAGTTACCTGAACTTTGTCCGAAGTCGTAACAGGTATGCCATTCTTTGTCCAGAAAAATTCAACCGTAGGATCCTGGAATAGCTAATTGAAATGGCAAAATTAATATGACCGAAGGCATGTAAAATTACATCCAAAGGACATTGCAAGGTCAGTTGGTGGCCTTGTTGAACCTCCTTAGGTGCAAAGCGAATTTCCATTAGCGGTGGCTCTGAAAAGTTAATAAGTTTGTCCTTTTTACATGTCCTTCAATTATAAATAATTAAAAGTCCTACTGAGGATAGAAACCACAAGATCCTTCTCTGCGCGTCCAGGCTTATTCTCAGCAATGCAAGAGTAGCGTCCGGCATCTTCTGCCTGGAAGTCTTGGATTTGTTATGGAAGACTTTTGGCAAAACATTAAATAACCTTTGCTTCCTGTATTTGAAGCTGCTGTTTATCATTAATGTATACGCCAGTGTCGTTGAGTTTGTAGCCATTCTGAAGAAAGAAAAAAGTCTTTTTCCGTTATGTAAGCTTATTAAAGTGCAATTGGATTTGAAACTTGAACGTAGGCTTGTAGAAATGGAAGAGCCTTCCTCGTTACAAATACTTTTATAGCTTTCAAACGGGTATGTTATAGAATACTCAACGTTGACCAACTTTCAACATTAGATTGAATAAAGCTTGTGAAAAGATAAAATTCCATAATATTAATATATGTCTTGTTGTTCAAGCAGGCTGCCACTTTAGCACAACATTTCAAACTACAATATCTAAAATGATAAATATTTACGCAGATCTTGAATTTGTAGGAGAATAACCAATTATTTCTTTCAAATTAAGATCAACCACGTGTTTAAGGGACATCTGTTTCTGCGGGAGATCTCACTCAGAATCGCGTTTAAAACAGCATGTCAAACAACTTCTGAGAATTCGAAAGGATTTAAGTTTTTTTATTTCTAAAATTACTATGATCCAAAGTACATAAAAAAGAGATTTTCACTCTGTAGTCATACTGCTCTCCATGTTGTTCCATTTTTGGCCTTTAGCTCCTATTAATCAATTTTATTACTACTTGTTTTCTATTTGTGCTCCACTAATGAAAATTATGGTAATTGAGGAATGGATAAGGAAAGCCAAAATGAGTTAGTATGCAAATAGGGGAAAGGGATATTTGCTATTACGTTCATCTCAAAGCTGCAATTTTTGCAACATTAGGCAATTATATTCCAAGAAAAAGTATATTCAAAGGCTTCGGCCAACGTTTGCCATTTACTCTGCGAGACCTACTGTTGGATTATTCACACTGCTAGCCGACGGCAAATGGCAAATCCCTCTTCTCATACATGGGATAATCCAGAACTTCCAAACGGAAGTGCATGAAGTGTGAATAGAACGGATATGTCAGGAAAGGATGTGCTGCGACC